GACTCCAGAAGATCTAAAAGGAGGCATTTGTAATGTATGGGTTAAGTTTTAAAATAGTTTTTCTCTTTTCATCTTTAAGGTACCCTTCCTTTCTGTCGGTGAAGATCTTGGAAACCGTGTAGTTTTGTATGAAGGAAATTCACAGTCGAGTGGAGACTATGTTGTGGAAGATGTCGACGGGGATGGAGGACAGAAATTTCGACGACTCGTTTTTCTTAGCAACAAGAACGTAGTGCAGTCAGAGGCCCGACTAATAACAGGTGAACTTTTCTTTAAGCAGGTTTTAACTAAGTGGCGAAACACTTAAACCGAAGTAATCACGACAGTCAATGAGAATAAAGGTTTAAACCATCATTGGCTAATTAGAACTTGCCTGTGACAGGCAAACTGCTTGAAGTGCGTGAAACACGTGTGACTAAGTCGCGATTGCTTTTAATTTTGTATCTGATCAGTTTAGAGGCTGGTACGAAGCGAATTAAAGTTACGCGAAACCAAAGTAATTTCGGATTAATTTTGAATTTCGACTAATAAATTTCGCGAAACTGAAAATGTCCCATTTTTGCAAAATTATTGGGATTGATGAAATTGATGGAATCCATAACGTTGAAAGCCCGTTGAAGTAAAAGCATGGTATGCTTTTGTCTTAAAAATAAGGGCACGTCTCTTATTTGGTTCTTTTTCGTTTAAGCAATAGGAAGCAATTGCTTGTCAGTTGACTGATGGATAAAGGGGATAAGTTTTTAAAGAAACTGTGGTGCTGCGTCGGTGGGAGAGTATAGCAGGTAATGTAGTGTTTATAACTGAGTTGAAAACGTAAATTGGCTACCGTAAAGAGTAAAAAAAACCGACGTTTCGAGCGTTAGCCCTTCATCAATCGCTCTGACGAAGGGCTAACGCTCGAAACGTCAGCTTTTTTACTCTTTATGGTGGCCAATTTACGTTTTCAACTCAGGTGTTAACACTAAATTACCTGTCAATTGAGTGGGCTGCGTGGGTTTAAGAATTTACACAGTCTCTGATGGTTTTTCTAAGATACCGAGTTATTTTTTGTTGTCGTTGTTGTTTTTTTATAACTATTAAATGTTGTGGTGTATTTCTGTAACTTGCAACTTAACTTTGATATATTTAAGTTCTCTGGTGTTTATCTTTAAAATAAATGTTCGGTTTTCAACCAATGAAATCATGTATAGTACTTCAGTTATACCAAAAGCGACCAAGTCGTGGTTGGTTTTTGTTTCGCACCTGATTGGAGAGTGGCACGAGTTTTCTGTACCAATCACAGAGCAAAGTAAAGCAAAACCGATATAATCCCGAGTTCCTTTCAACACCCGTTTGAAAATTGCTTTATCATATGCTGTTGTTATTTATAACTCGCTAATATTGTAATAATGACAATTGCACCGTTTATACAGACAGAACAAATGTTAAAAAGGGCAAAGGAAAACAGAAGGCAAAGGTTCATAACAACAGCAGTCCCCGAGTGGATCATGGGTATTTAGCTTGTCAGCATCACAGAGTGATTGTCACCGGCCTGGCCTGGATCGAGGGATTTTGTACCACAGGTAAGCCATCGTGGTCCAGCGTGTAGCATGGCAATTTTTACGGGTTCCATCAACCACGAAATAGTATTCCCGCGAACGGTAAACTATTTTGCGACCGGCTCTGAAATGCTTTAGCAAATCACGTTTCAGATTTTGTTCTAAATGGAGAAAAAAAACTGTGAAACAAAAAACCAGGAAAGAAAATTTCTGAATTCGAAGTTTGAGCAATCACAACCTCGTTCCAGGTTTCTCTCTCTGACTCCCTTCTTTCACCTGGGAGGAGGAGAAAAGACCCTGGGAACGATGTTGGGCCAATCAAGTTTGCACATTCAGCGTTATGTTGGCCTTTAATGGATATGGTTTTATGAACAGCAGCAGTGACTTCAAGTTCATGTATCTCTTGAACCAGAGATTTGGCAACAGAGAAGCCAAGCAATTTCAATTCTTCGCCGTGTGGTCCTCTGCATCCAAACATTTTTCATAATTGACTTTCTTTGAGTAATAATGTTAAGTATCGTTGTCTGTATAATATGTCTCTGATTATGTACAATCTTAGACGAAAAGAGGAAAGGCTTGATAGTTGGCCTCGGTGGTGGAGGACTGGCAATGTTTCTGCATCAATACTTCAAGAAGGTAATTTTAAGATATAATATGAAAATTAAAAAAAATTGAAAATAAACCCTGACATTTAGGATATTACTTACTTTAAGCCTTTATGTTGTAATTGTTCGTTAATTTCTACTTTTTTTTCATTGGATTGGAGCTAAGCGCGAATGTTGAATTACGTGCGGAAGAGGAAAGCAAAGCAAGGCAAACAAATTTACAAAGAAGCTCAAAACACGATGGACATCCCGCATTCACTCTCTGTGGCTTTTTTCGTATGCTGTCCCTCGCGCTTGTTCACACTTTTCTCATACTTTGCGTCCGCTCCTCTGATAACAGCTTGTTCTACTTTCGTCGAAAACCGACTTGCAGTAGTTTGTGCTTCCTAGCGGTAGAAAGTGGCCTGTACTCTTTCTTCTTTCAACAAGTAGAATTTATGCCCCATGACTTCTACTAATAATTGCTTTCGACCTCTATTATCTCCTGATGACTGTTTACTCGTTGAATTTAGCTCAATGACGTGCACCCCATACCATGTTTACTACAATTTTCAATATATTGCTGAAATCTTGTTTTATTTATATCGCCCTTGATTGATATTTGTTCTTTGATTCACAGCTTTCTGTAGAGGTCGTAGAACTAGATCCATCCATTTCTGAAATTGCCAATAGTTGGTTTGAGTTCAAAGAAGATGATAGAATGCAAGTCATAATTGAAGACGGATTGAAATATATTCGATCCAAAGGTTTGTTTTCTGATCTTAAACTTTTTAGAACACTTCTTTACCCAAAAGAGGACCACAGGATGTTTATGCCATCGATGAGGATATAATGAAATTAGAGTATTGACGTTTGTCTCACGATATAGTGCCCTTCGATGTAGCCTCTTCCAGGCGCGATAAACTGAGAGGCGCTGCGGAAAAAGGGCTGCAGTTTTGTTCGGGTCGTGGCGCTACCCGACCCAAATCTACCCCGTTATTTCATTCGTCCGCTGCCATCGCGCTGTTTACTATGAGTTGCGTTCCGTTTCGTCAACTGAAGGCCTGGAACAAGCTACCTACGATACGAATGGCATTTCGGTTGCCAACTGCTAATCTCTAGGTGATGGAGTCGACCAGTTACACAAAAAGTCATGAACCAACAAGGCTTAGCCTGGAGAAGACAAGCGGAAAGCACTTGACACATCGCGATCCACATCGCAAGTAGCTCCATCGTAAGACGAACGAAATTACTTTCTTACCGTTGAATTTTCGCGATGATTACTTACGTCTATTACCCACCCTCTCTTGGTGCCCATAAGAAACCGTGAAGTGTCTCTCTGTTTTTCATTATTGTTTCATATTTTACCATTTGTCAGAGAGCACTCCAAGCTATGATGTGATTATCTTTGACGTGGATTCTAAAGATACGAGCGTAGGAATGAGTTGTCCGCCACAGGCCTTCGTGGATAGAGCGTTTCTCAAACAGGTTCACTCCCTGCTATCTCCTTCAGGTCAGTCGCTGGTGTTTGGAGAGAGAGTTGACTAAGGAAGAATGGGCATTTTTAGAGAGCTTTTCTGAAAGGTTCACGGGGAACGACTGCATCTTAAATTACAAGCAAGTGATTTCAACAAATGCATATAACGTAGGTTATGTGCTCCTGATTTTACTGGACTTAAATGGGTAGGGTTTTCGTGCAACTGGGTGCCAGACAATCCAAAGCATCCAGCCTGCACATCGCTTTCAACACGCTGCGGCGGTGGATTTAAATTTATCTCCTTTTAGTGTGAAGTAAACTTCTTTGCCATTCCAACCATATTTTAACTTGTGCATTTCCTTTTTCAATTTATTTTTCGACTGCCCCAGATTTCATGCTTAAGTTTAAGTGCTTATAACAGTTAAAAACAATAAATGGCTTGAACCCGGGGGTAACATGTGACAGTAAAGTCTGATCGTCAGGGTGAGTGTAGCCCTGAGGACTATTGTCTGTAGTAGTGACTGCCAGACGTTTCGATGAGCTAAGCGGAAGTCATCGTCAGAGTCAAGTTAGTAGTTGTTTTCAGTCGAATGTGAAGTCCGGTTCGTGTGAACTGATTGTTAAGTTTAGTCGTGAGGACTCGAGTGGCGCAAACTATGTGAAAGTGTCGTCGGTAAAGTTAGGTCATCGTGTTCGGTTCGTTTGTGATGTTGATTTCGTGAGTAAGTCGTTCGTGTGGATCCGGTAGTAGCTGACACCTTTTTAGGGAAGTCCGTTGTAAGTTAGTGAGCCAGCTTTCTAGAGTCAGCCGTTGAAAATAATTAGTGCTGTAGGCCGATGATGCATTGCGCAGTCGATAGTGTGGTTCGTAAGGTGATGATATTCAACAATGTGATTCTTGACATCACATTTTCTTGTCGCTCGCTTGTGGTGAAGATGACTTCCGCTCAGGTTGTCGAAACATCAATCACTACAACAGACAACAGTCCTTCTCAGGACTGCACTCACCCACACGATCAGACTACACTTTCACATAGTTTAAAGAGAACCACAGGTTTATCTTAACGAGGTTTATATTCATTTTCTCTATCTCTGGCCCATATGTGGTCGAATTGTAAGGGGTAACCTGCCTCCTAAGGTTTTCTTCTCTTTTCAGGAGTGTTCGTTTTGAACTTGGTTTGCCGCAATACCTTCCTGAGAGAGCAAGTTGTCAGCGATCTTCGGGCTGTTTTTCCTGAGCTTTACACCATCGGAATCGAGGGGGAAGTAAACGAGATCGTGATCGCTCTTCCACAGCTTAGATACCAAACGGACTGTGAAGAGAAGAAATCCCTTGACGCTCTTAAAAATATTTTTCACAACTCAGTCATGAAATTACAGAAATTTGCCAAGAGTCAAAGTCATTCTTGGGATTCAACCCTTGATTTGTGTCAACTTGTAAAAGAAGTTCAAATTGTATAGAGGAGAAAAAAAAAATTTAACGAACAATTGGGTTGTTGCTGTTGTTGCTTCATTGCGACAAGAAACTCTACCTTAGATATTCATAAGATTTCTCTCAAGTAGAGAGAATTGCCATGGAAAGCGTTAAGTCAAGTCCCAAAGCCCCTGAGTTGTTATTTGACACAGAAAATAAATGAACTATAGAGGGAACACAGGCATGTAAAGAACAAAGTCTACAATTTTAATGCTAAACATCCGTTGTTGTTATACATCGCGAAATAAACACAATAATTTACAAAAGAACTCTAAATCTGCATTACACCGAGTGGTCCAATAGGTCCAAGAAAAGGAAAGTCTGAAAATAGAAAAGATAAGGAGCAGTTTAGTGTGAGGCGTTTCAATGTTTGAAGTCTCTTCGAAAGTAAGACAATAACAGTGATAGGATTATGCTTTGAACTGCGTTAAATAATACTGAAAGACATGAAGAACGGAAAATCTTCTGGAAAGCTAATTAAAATTTCGTTTCCTCTTTCTTCCAGCTGTTGGTTAAAATGTTTGTATATAGCTGGCTTTACAACCGACGAACACTTTGAGTAGTAGTCTATCACAGGCATCAATACCTAGTGAACGTATGCACTTCTTTTAGCGTGTTACAGGCAAAGCTCTACTGCAGATAGAACCAATCTTACTAACCACTAACTACTAACCACAATTCAGCTCTCTTGGTTTGTTTCCATCTTTTCCTCGGCCTGTTCCTGACCTGATAACTCGGATGAATCATCGTCGTCCTCTTCTCCCTCGTTCTCCCCTTCTTCGTCTTCTTGGTCTTGTTGTTTTTCGTACGCCTTCGGTCCCGGTGTGACGATCACTCCTCCCCAACTGGACACCTCAGTCTCCAGAGCTGGGTACAGACAAAGGACGAGAATGAGAACCAAGAATCAAATTGTCCTTTGGAGAACAGTTCTAAAGGTAAATAAGTTCTCGGACATCGTTAGTTAAGATACCACTTGCACTTTTTCCTTGCCCCTCTCCCCCTTCCAATGTTTTCGTTTTCCAGTTTGCACACGGTATTTCAGAAAAACAATGGTAAGAGGGACTGGGAAGGCAGCAAGTTTCCCAGCAAATGCCTTTCAGAGAGAAGGTGTTACAATCGAATCAGGTTCTGTACACCTTCCACCCCACCCCCCACAGCCACGCCCTCCAAAGTGTCTGTCCGCGATTTAATTCTAGTACTTCGATAAGGACTTGTTTATTCGTGTTTCATTCCCGAATGCCAGAGGAACGGCAGATATTATGTCACAAAATACAGCAAGCTCGACTTCCCTATATTCTGCATCAATGTTCTAGGATTTCTTCATTCAAAAGTCTTCTTGGTAAAAGTTTTTCCTGATAATTTCTTGGCTAAGATCAAATACTTACCAACTTGAGGAATTCCTTCTTGACTCTAAGAAAAAAAAAGAGAAACAGAAATCAACTGTTGAATCATATCATACGTTGACCAACAGCTGAAGAAAAGAGACAAACGTGTAGGTTATGTGGAACCTTCACTAAAGGCTATCTCTCTACAAAAAGCCCTTTTTTCGTCCCGGTAGACGGTTCGAAAATCCACTTTTATTTTCACCTTTCTACACTGTTCGTTTTGCCGTCTCTTTCTATGGCCATCAATTTAAGGTTTCTTTTCATCAGTGTCTGCTTTTTGATTGTCACCTGGCTTTATCATGTGACCCGTACGCCCCCAGCGCACGCTGCTACTGAAACACATCTAAATAATCCCGGATGGTGTGTGCAGGGAAGGATAAACACGTGCAGGCAAGGATAAACCCGTGCAGGGAAGGATAGACTCGTGCAGGGAAGGATAAACCCGTGCAGGAAAGGATAAACCCGTGCAGGAAAGGGTAAGCCCGCGCAGCCCTTCGATACGTGGGCTATAAAGAGAAAGAGAGAAAGAAGAAAAGCGGCGATCGAGCCGGAGGGGAAAATGTTTGGCTCTCGTTCATGACGTACAGACCTCGATTAAGACCTTAAGCCAGACTGTTTCCCGTACAGCTTTTCCATTGGGTCAATAAATACATTATATGCTGCACTGAGAATCTGTGCTCAAATAAGTACTTTACCGCTACATATCTGGAACGGCCACCTCTCTACAACGGCCACTTTCCTCTCTTCCAAAGGAGGCCGCCGAGAAAAGGGTTCACATGTTTGTCCAACTACTTCTATTACCTCACAATCAGTTATTACAACTGTTACAATCTACTTTACCACTAGTGCATGAAACATTGATAAATATAGAAGCACAACTCTACTACAATCATGTTGTCTTACCAATCCTAATATTTCGTGGTAAGCCCCATGGTTTAAGCATCGCAGAAGGGTTTGAGCACAAGTTGTGATAGCGTCCTGTACAAACAATTGATAAAGAAAAATAAACAGTTAACTGCTATTGGATGTCGTTTCGTACAAAATATAACGTTAGCCACTTTAGTGAACAGCATGTAGAAAAGATACGGAACATCGCTCATACCTGTTCCTCGAGGCTAAGAACACTGTGAGCGCGTACATTTCCCGACTAAATGAAGAAAATACAGCAATGTCAAGGTACAATACAAACAACCACACTTGAACAATCACGAAAAACACCCAGAAAAAAGTTAAGTGAAGGTAAAGGCAATTTATTTCCATTTTTTAGGATTTGTTGTCCAATCTCCCGATCCCGAGGCTTATGACACTTGTACATGAATTTCTCTGGATATATAAGTATTTTAATTATGATCTGATTTTGTAAGCTCACATTGAAAATCAACAATGACTGCAGAACAAACAAATACTTGTAAGTTACTGGTATATAACTAACTCACTAACTAACCAACTAACTGACTAAATAAATGAGTAAATACGTCAATTCAAATTGAAACATTAAATATCACCGTCACCTCACAAGGATCAATTATTCCTAATGAACCAGGCAAAAACAATCCTGCTGAGAGGAGCTGGAAAGCACGCCTGAAATGAAAAGAATTCCTTCTAAGTTTTAAGTTCATTTGTACTGCATGAAAGCCCATTCCCTACATATATATCATTCAGACGTGTTAATAAAACGACCCAAATCCCAAAGTTTCTAGAACACTGAACAAGCCACCACACATGCACACAGCTAAATCGGACAAAATTTTAATCTTCTGGATATTTACACAACTTCCCAGTTGATGTGGATAGCTTGTGAATTGAAATTTATTTGTCCTTGAGAAGAGCAGGATTTGTGAGAATTCCATGTCTCACCTGAAAGCAACGTTGACTGGAAGAGGTTGCCGTGATGAATTCATCATAGCTGCACGATGGGCCTAAAAAGAAAAAGACACTGTTAAAAATATTTCCTGTTGGTAAAATAATGTAAACTTGTCACATCCTTGCTCTCTCTTGCGATGAAAATCCACTATTTTTAAGAAATAACACTGTACATCACTAGTTTACAACTACACTATTAGAATAGCACTTACAAGCAAGTCTATAAGCCATGGTGTGAGACCTTGCAATCCAGTGAATCGTTTTCTAAGATCCTTAAAAAGTCTCACCAAGAGACGTGTACTGAAAGAAACCAACATGTTATCATTGCAAAATTTGTCATGTTTCCCATATTTATTAACACACACAATGCTATTAATATGGCTGATCCTTGCACTATGCAACATGCATGTACAAGTAGCTTTTCACATCTGAAAATTTGTACATTGCATAATATTTATCTGTCTAGAGAGAGGTTTTTTGTCATGTCATGAGCATAGGGACCACACTCGTGACAAGAGGAAATACATCTTTCTCTATCTCTTTAACAAGCTCTCAAAAGAAAATTTACCATCTTTTTTATTCCATTGATCCTGTATACATGCACCCTCTCCACTCATGTAAGGTGAATTACAAAGGACCAGTGAGGGCATTCCAATCAGTAACAAACGACGATTGACCCTTAAACTCCCAAGATCTGATTGCTAATTCTCCCCTCTAGCTGCTACACATTTACTTGTGAATTAGTTTTAAGAATTTGGTGATATCAACTCCTACTCAATAAGTTTAAATATTCTCAATACCTGTTTGCTGAATAATGTAAAGATATTATATTAAAAACTTGTTTTAAGTCAACTTGTTCTCTTACCTTGTGTGGAAAGCATTTTCTTCAAACCAGCGAGCATGTCTTATTGTTGCTAATGCCCCCTCGAGAAGTTTTACATCCACTGCCAAAATAAAACTCATCTAGTGAATGTATGTACATATAACGCATCTTAACTGACTGTAATGCCTACACACTCATTCTTGGATGAAAGTTTTCCCACTTGAAATTGTATGCCTGGATAGTTTGCATTAGCAGGAATTGTTGAACCATGGAGCAATTTTATATTCTTTATGTTAAGGTTACATATGAAGTCCAGGACTAATGGTATAAATATTAAGAGTGTATAGTATAAAGAAGTTCAACACTGCTCACTTACCATGCTTTGTTGGGTCAGCATCCTGCAGATTCTTAGGAAGGGTTGTTATCAGCACACGGACAAGAGCCCCTTCTGGACTACTGATGTTAAATCCTAAATGTTGAGAGATAAATCTACTTAAGGAGCACTGACATGGATCATACAAGTCACTGGTGAGTAATTAAAGTCTGCAAGACTGTGATTGAAAAGTGTAGTTGCTTGAGAGCTGCTGATTGACAGGATCAAGACCTTTAAATAAAGATAGCAAGTACCTAGATTGCTCTGCACATTATTGTAACAACATGCATAATGTGGTTCAAAAGACAAACCCTTACCTCCTTCGTTTGACTGAATTGGATACTCTGGACAAGATAAAATAGAACATGATAAATACCAATAAAAACTATTAAATAAAGACCATATCACAACCTGGACAAAGGTCCATGCACATTGAAATTACAGTGTATGGCAGCTGAAGACATTGCAGAGTAAACATTGTTCTACAACAAAAAAATAAAGGGAGCCAATCTTTTTTTTCCTTTCAATCTTTCCCCACTAATTTTGCCGTACACATGGCAACAGGTTGTTGAAAAAGAGATGTGAGAAAGCAGTGTCTGCTAAGAGAGTTGAGGAAGAAGGCCAAGGACAAACAGCAGGGGGTTTCTCTAGCCACAGCCTTATATGGCCAGGGGGAAGACAAGACTAATGGCTACTAATTTTGCAATAATACCTGCTGATGAACCATCCTCTTTCAAGGATTTTTGTACTCTTGTTGCTAAAGCAAGAATATCAGTTTCTGTGGAAAAAAATGAATCAACAAATAGGTGAATAGATCAAAATAAA